CTAACAATCTTTCCCAAATTCCATACCAATATCATTGTTGAACATATAATCGGTTCTAACTAACATACTCATCTGATCTTCAGTCTTGACGTATAACTTCAGGTCGTCCATAAACAATAAATGGTTGACCTTGTATTCCTTCTTTCCCCATTCATAAGCCGCCGTCACTTTCCATAATATCAGCGACAATGGTATTATACTAAGGACAAATAATAGTGGCGATAGACTATCCCCCTGGAAAATCCCCCTCCTCACAAAAACCTCTCCAAGATCCTCCCCGTTGGATGTCAGTGATACCTTCCACTGTTTCATGCTTCTTCCAAGAAAGTTCCTTACATTCTCCGCTATTCCAAACGTCTCCATACATTCGCTTATCCAACTATGCGGGACCAGATCATTGCTTTTCGGTAATCTATCCAAGACATGGACAGATTCGTAAGCCTATTCTTACAATCTCTATCAATGAGTAGTTGATCTTTGGTGTCCCTGCTTCTTCGCCTACATCCTTTCTGTTCATCTGGTAATATATTGCTCTGTTCTAGATATTGGTACATTTCATCCGCTACAATGCCCGTCAAAAGTTTCCACATTAATGGAAGGCGGGTACTAGGTCGAAAATTATCAACCGCTGTGCCTTTCTGTGGATCCTTTTGACAAAGCACTGTTCGACCATGTGTTGTCCGTTGAAGGACCTCCTCTTCTGTTAACATACCATCAGGTTGGGATGCGATTCTCTCATGAAGAGCGGTGAAGTGTTTTAGCCAATGTCCCTGTACTCCATCTGGTCCTGGTGCTCTCCAATTCGGAAGTTTCCTACTTTGCTTTTTAACTTTCTCTGTGTTAATTTTCGCCGTGTCTTGCGTGTGTTTCACATCACGATCTGTTTCTTTCTTCAACTCTTTCAGCCACACAGCAGCTCTATTGTGCTCCTTCTCCACACTCCAAATGTCACCCCAGAATTTTGTACACTCTTCCGCATTCGGTATCTCGTTTGAAAAATTGGAACTTTTGTTAAGTTCGTCATAGAACTTCTGATTCAAACCAAACATCCTATTTTGCCTAAACTGTTCAATTCTGTATTCGTATCTCTTCAGTTTTCCACTTTTTGTCACCATTCTTTGTTTTGATTCTTCTATTGCAGTTTTTATCCCCTTTCTGTTCACCCTGTACTTTTCATTTAGTTGTTTGATTTTCTGTGTCTTCTTCACATCTAATTGTCCTTTCAGTCCTATTTCCAGCAAGTTAACATCATGTCTCAATTTCCTTATATCACCCTCTATTCTCCGTTTCCACCACGGTTCATTTCGTTTCTGTCGAGCACCTGTTTTCAACCCAAATTTCTCTGCAACCCATACACTTTCAGCTAAGATCAGATTGTTTGTTTCTGTGATGTTCCTGCACTTCATGTACTTTATTGCTTCATTTACTGTGTCAACCTGAATTTTAAGAGCTTTTCTATCTAACTTTTTGAACATGATTCCATCACTTCTCTTTCCTTCTACTAGTATCGCTTTTAGCCTTTCCGCATTATCTTTTGTTTCATCACTTGCTTCTGTCAATCTCTCCTCTGTTTCTACCTCATTTTCAACCACTTCGTGCCTTGGCTCCTCCCCCTTTCTTGCCTCCTCCATTGCATCGTACTCTTCATTATTGTTTTCTTCTTCATCTACCTGTAGCAGCTCTTCTTCATTTCCTAAAACTTCAGCATCCACCTTTCTTTTTATTTCCTCCAACTCAAGTTCTGACAACCATCCATTTTTCCTTCTTGTTCTTGCTTGATCACATATTCGCTGCCCCGTTGTTCCAAACTTTCCTCTTTCCCTCCATTCTCTAAACATGCGTTGTCTGTAGCCTCTGATGGGTTTCCCGTTCTCATCAAAAGGATTACTTCTATAGAAACACTCCATTATGACTTTGTCGATGTCTTTACTCCATGTCTTCCTCGCAGTAGCAGGGTGACGACCGGGTTCTCGCTGCTGTGCCGAGAAACACCTGCCGGGCGTGGCCTCTTCACCCGGGGTTCCAGTCCCATTCGCGCCGTTATTCTCAATACTTTGATCGGACATTTCATTCATAAGAAGCTTACGGGATTTTTAGGTTGCACAACCACCGGGATTTTTATCGAGTCACCATCTCTTGACGATCACGGGGTATTTTTATTATTATTATTACTATTATTATTGTTATTATTATCATTATTATTATTATTATTATTGTTGTTGTTATTAATATCATTATTATCATTATTATTGTTATTATTATTATCATTATCATTACTATTGTCATTTTTATTATTACTATTATTATCATTATCATTATTATTATTATTATTATTATTATTATTATTATTATTATTATCATTATTATTATTATTATTATCATTATTATTATTAACATTAATGTTATTATTAACATTATTATTATTATTATTATCATCATCATCATTATTATTATTATCATCATCATCATTATTATTATCCTCATCATCATTATTATTATC